CTCTCCGCGGGCGCCGCGCGCGGCCCCGCCCCGACACGTGACCCCGCGGGCGGCAACGGCGGACGTGGAAAGCGGGCAGCGCCATCTTGAGTGCGGGCAGCAGCGTCGCCGCCGMGGCGGAGCGAGGCCTCCGCGTGACGTCACGGCGCCGCCGCCATTTGCCGCGGCTGAGGGGGAGCGCGGCGCCGCCTCGGGGTAGCGCACAGGGTGAAGGCAGGCAGCGGTAAGTGCGACCGCGCAGCACGGCCAGTACTCCCCGAGCACTCCCCGAGCACTCCCCGAGCACTCCCCGAGCACTCCCCGAGTCCCGAAACAGGGCAACGCCACCCGCAGTCTGCCTTGAGGCCAGGGACGCAGCCACAGTTGCAGCCTCCAATGCAACGAGCGGCCCAAACCCCAGCCCAGGCAGCTCCCCGGGAGCAGGGGAAACGTTTCCTCCCTGCAGGGGTGGGCAAGCACCAAACAGGCTGCCCAAAACATCGAGGAGCCTCCTCCGCGAGGCGCGCATCTCACCGGACAGTCACGGACAACGTGCAGGGCCAGAGGGGCCCTCCAGCCCCACGCAGGCTGCAGCACAGAGCAATGCTGAAAAACAAGCGAGTGAGAGATTCTGCCCCAAAACAAGGGCCTGCCTCCCTTCTCCCTCCCTCTCTCCAGAGCTTTGTCAATGCCTGACAAAGTTCCATAAGAAAATAGCGGCCGGGMTGGCCCAAGATGAACACATTACCAACAACACTCTTCCGTTTTTTCCCAATTGCTTTAATGTCAGTAATTATGTTTAAATTTCCTATCCTCCTCTCACCTTTTCTTTCAATACAAATGCCAAATAATAAAAAATTTACTAAAGGGTCATCAGATGCTATTTTAACTTTTCCAGTAAACATTAAAAATTTGGTAATAATGTACACATTAATAGTTTGGTAAGGAAAATAATTTGACTATGTAGCTTAAGAGCCTGGCCTTTCTGAGTGCAGCTGAGTACATAGGAAATAATGTGGCCCCTTTCAGGTTGCAGCTGACAGGACACAGAATGCAAGCTGCGCTTCGTAAGTTTAACACAGGGTTTCCTTAGCAACACAACAGAACTGCTGTCAGTCTCACATTCTAATACCTGCCAACCCAGCTGAAATTTTAATAAAACACAACCCCACCTATACACAAAGCACAGATCAGCCCGCTTCAATTCTTTAAGAATTACAAATGACTAAAATGCTTAAGGCAACTTTAGAGTCATGTGATTATTACGATTGCCTCAGCTCCCTTGTTCCTAGTTAGCACAACTCCCAAGGGTAAGGATTACCTTCCTTGCCATTATGGAGCGAGCTAACAGGCACCCGATTCCTATTGGAGCTGGCAGTTGTTCAAACAAGTAGCACTGCAATAAAAGCAACATACTTTTCATTCTTCCTATTTGATAATCATGAAAGGAAAACTATTAGAATCACTACAAGACTTGAGGAAAAGGTTCATTGGGAACACAGTTGTAGCTACCAGCTGCCACCTTGTGGTCAGTCGGTTTAATAATCAGTGCTTCCTGCATGATGCATTTCTTACATCTCCCCATAAATTCAGTGTGTGCCTGACCTTTTGATGTTGAATATATTGTAACTCACAACTTGCAGAATTGTATTTTATTTTTGTTTAAAGTCTTATTTCTACCCCCAGGGGCATTTCCATCTTATCTGCCAGGATTTTTATCTTCATAAATAGGCTTACATTTAAAGAATTACTAATGAGGCACATTCAGGGATTAAGGTAAACCTGAGATCCAGGCAGTACTTTTAAAGAAGTGCAACTCTCCCCTGTCTGGCCTGTAATTTTAATTCTAAGCTTCTATTTTAAAAATCTGCTGGATTTAAAAAAAAAAAATCAGAAATACTAGTTTTACATTTTCTGTGACTTAAAATGTTACCTGGATTACTAAGTATATAAAAAACCCCACACACTCAATTCACTGTTTGCAGGATACTTCCATCCTATCCTTACAACTTTTTCATTCAAAAATTTAAGCATGCCAAGAGACCACAAAAGCAGCAAATGGTTTGTACCTACCAAAGAACACACTAACTTTTCCTAAAAGCAAAGTTCTGCATTACTTGTTTATTGTTTTGAAGTAGTTACGATTACCATTGTTTCACGGACAACTAACACATTGTATTGACCMAAGTGAAAACTAAGAAGCTTTTCATCTTGCTCTGCTCATGGGAAATACTACATGGTATTTTAAGTAACGATACACCAGGTGAAAAATATTGCTTTTTACAAAAATAAAACAGCCTATATGAAATATTCAGAGTATTTTGTTGTATTGGCTACTTTCAGGGACTGTTTCCTGCATTCCAATTTTACAATGTGTTCTTATAATGCTTTAAAAGATCCTACTTTATTAGCATCATTTTAACAACTTCCTAAGGTGCTGAATGTTGTTTTTCTCCCACCAAAAAATCCATGAATGTCCAAAACAATATGGAAACATTTTGTTGTTTCAGTAGAATTTATTGGCTGTAAATCCACAGTACAGTTTTCTGAATTTAAGTGGATGAAGGACTGCACTGTGTTCATGCTGCAGCCTTTGCCTTGACCTTGGCCTTGGCTTGTTCCTTGGGCTGCGCCTTGGCCTGTTCCTTGGGCTGCACCTTGGGCTGCGCCTTTGCCTGTGCCTTCGGCTGCGCCTTTGCCTGTGCCTTTGCCTGTGCCTTTGCTTTTTTCTCTTCCTTGAGTTTGTGCTGCAAAAAGGGGAAAAGAAAGAAGGATTAGTGGCACACACAGGCTCAGCTTTAATGCTTTACATTGTACTCCCAGTTTCCCTTCTCACGTTTTGAGCGTGGCGCAGAATGGTGTTGCGCCGCATCGTTTTGGCATAGGGGTTCAACTTGATCATGATTCTCAGATTCTTCAGTGGATTCTTCTTCAGGACTCTACGGTGAATCTTTTTCCTGTAAAGAGAAGAGATTTTCAGGCATACTGTGAATGCAGTTTGCTTATTCTCTAAGCTCTTCAGTAAAGTTCAAAAGTTTTAAGCCCTTTAAAGAATTATGGTGTTGTCAGAGGGGCAGAGCAAAAGCACAGTCAAACATCTAGTTATGCGTGACAAATTCCCCATTTTCAAAGTCCATAAAACCCCTGAAACTTGATTTAGGGGAACTCTTGATATTTATATCCAAAGATTGGGATGTCAGAAATTCTGCTTTTTAAATACTGAGACTTCTGCACTCACCCCATTCTTACACATGACAACAGATGAAAGAGATTACACTTAGCAATAGAGTTAATAGAGTAATTAATAGTTAGATGAAAATGATTACTTTGGAGCACGAAGTGCCTTCTGGATTTCCTGGCTTCTCAGGATTCTTCCAAGGTCTGTATTGGTCATCTTATGCATTGGCAGACTGTGAAACAAACATTCACAGTGTAAGTTCAATAATGAAAACAAAGCTAATTATATGAAAGAAGAATTTAGACAAGAATATTCCCAGGTGATTATTAGTTTTCGATTCTTGAGAATTGGACACTAACACAGTTCCCGCCCCCCGAAATTATTTCTGTCCACTTAGCTGCATCAAACGCTTGCTAGCCTTACTTATAGTCGCTCTTCAGGGTAGCAGCTTTGCGCCAGGTGCCGTATAAATCATCCAGCTTGCGGAAGGCACTTTCAGTCCAAATGCAGAAACGCCCAACGTGGCCTCCTGGAGCAAGTCTCAGCAGATTCAGCTTGTTAACATCAAGAAGAGTAATTCCTGTAGAGAAAACACACATACGCTTTCAATCTCTAACTACATTTAAAGGCAGTAAGAGATAAACTAAACTGGGCCAAAAGCACACAGGAATAGATACAGTTCTTKAGCTTTATACCATAAAAGTATGTACACATTAGGGATTAAAAAAACCTACTAAAGCAAAAAAAAAGGAGTCTTTTTCCAAGATCAAATTGACAATCTCTTTGTCATTGCTCCAAACATTATTTGTCTTTTTGAAAAAAACATCCTCCCCAATGCAGATTCTGAAAAGCATTTGCAACAAATTCCTTCAATGAGAAGTCAGAACTTCCACAAAATCATGTGTTTCAGAAACAYGGACCAATGAAGTGGAATATCATCATTCTAGATATATTCTTCCAACATAAGAATGATTACAACCTGAATCAAAAATTACCTGGAATATTCCTGAAAGCCCTAATGATGCCATTGTCTTCATTATAGATGATGCAGGGTCCCCTGCGCTGGATGCGACGACGGTTCCTCATTTTACCCTTCCCAGCTCGCATGCGCTGGGAGGCATAAACCTATACAGAAATGAAACCTGTAAATATCCAAAATAGTCCAAAACCTTATAAGCAGGACACAACAAAACTACCTAGTCAGAACTTCACAGTCACCACTGGTTATCTGAAACACGGACCAGTGAAAGCTCATCATTCTTAATAGATGAAACTAGACCTAACACTATCAAACAAGAGTAAAATAAAGAGAAATACAGATAAATACAGCATGGTAAGAAATTTACTTTGAAGGCTTAAACTTTGGCTTAAGTTTCTTACAGCCTTCTTATCAAGGATTTTTTTAGTAGCATCAAATTGAAGCAGAACTATTAAAAATTCATAAAATAATAATAGCAAAGTCTAATGACTGGGCCAAGGACATACTTTTAGCAGCTCACCTTCTTGATGTCATTCCAAGCTTTAAGCTTCTTAAGGAGAAGAACAGCTTCCTTGGTTTTCTTGTAACTCTCAACTTTGTCCTCAACAACCAGAGGAAGTTCTGGAATCTCCTCAATACGGTGGCCTGATGAGAATTTTGGCATAAACCAAGTTACACACCTATCTTAGCTATATCAATTTAAAGTTACTATCTTGTGTGTTCAAAAGTGATACAAAAATCAAGAACAGTGAAAATTAGGAATCTCATATGCAGGTACAGTAGCTGAAAAGTTTCAATGCAGTTTTGTTGACCTGTCTCAAACAGTACTTTCTAAATCCAAAATTAATTCTAATTTTTGGTTTCCATGAACAGAAACTGAACTGCACTGTGATTCAAAATACAAATTCAGTTACCATGAACTGCAATACAAAATTCATCAGGATCAGCTGACATCCAACTCTACATAACCTTGAAGTATTTTCCTCAAGCCATACACAACAAAGATACCTATCTACTGAAGAATGGGACTGTACCCTGAACTCCTTAAATGAGGATTTAATTATAATTTTATGTATTAGGTTTTATTTCAAATAACCACAGTTACTACTACTGCTCAGGCAATGCCAGACTGCAAACGAATGTTCAAATACACTAGAATTCCCACCTTTAGACATGACCAGCGCCGGGAGAGCCGATGCTGCCAAAGCAGAGCAGATGGCATAACGTTTTTGAGTTGTATTCACTCTACGGTGCCAGCGTCGCCAAGTCTTCGTTGGGGCAAACATGCGGCCTCCACGACACATCTATGAATCTACAGTTAAGAATAATCTTCTCCAAACTTTTTTCCAGTCCAAATCATTAATTCTTGCTCAGCATTTAACTGCTCGTCAATCACCTGTGCCAGTATGCTGACAGCAGGCAACTGTCACTGAGCACAGAGTAAGACGCAAATTACAACATCATAGCAAGTCCATATTCATCTTGACATCTGAAACACTCCCCACTTCTCCAGTAAAAAAAGTCAATTAACTCTGGAGCTACTGGTGGCATTACAGTCATCTTAAACCCCATGCGGTCCCAATTTCTGTATGGGGATGTCACCTCATAAAGGGGAAAATTACACTCTGCATTTACATGCTTAAAATCATTCTTCTTGAAAACACACACACAGAATAAACCCTCAGCTTTACACCATATCGAAGCAGCAACTATGAGGATACATTTCCAAAGGCACCTTGGCCAGAGCGATGAGTTCCTCCACCTCGTACTCTAGGAATACGAGCAACGGCTCTCCCAGTACCCCAAGATTCAGCACTGGTCTGATGACCTGAAACACAAGATTTCAACGTAGTGTGTCAACAGTGCAATGTTTGCGAGTCACAGAAGCGTAGATTTGCAGGCCAGCATTCAGAACTTCCACTGTTATCATGTAGTTCAAAAACACGGACCAATGAAGTGGAATCTCATCATTTCAGCACAGCAAGTCCTCATGAACTAGAACTCTGACCCTATAAAGTGTGTGTTTAGGTCAGAATGAAGAATGTTAACACGCTGACTGATGCCCAAACTTGGCCTACAATTAGAGGCCTGAATTAGTACTGCTGTTACTAGTGTATTTAAATGTTTGTGTCAATTACTATTAGAAATAAGCCTGAATATGCATGTTGCCAGCACCAGTTTCTCTGAAAATAGGTACCTACAGCTGCTAGTTTTTGAAGTAACTAACAAATGCTCAATTACATAGGTTTATTCTTAACAAACGGCTAAGATAAAAACTTCATGAAGTCAGCAGACCGTAGTGGCCATAACACGCAGCTTTGCATCACGATTATCTGCCTTACATATCATTTTCAGACGTTTGGTGGTTCTTCTTGGAAAAATTTGAGAATTTAGGTACAATACTGTCAATAATACACATTTCAGATTAGAACCCTGAACCCTTCAAAACTTTGACAGCACTTTACTACATTTCACAATCAGAACAACTTTTTTGCTTTCTACACAGAACTCCACCGAATACAGCTTCTTTTATTTCAGCTCTAACTTTGTTTTCCTCATTTTATGCCACCTATATTAAAGTCAACTAATAATATGACTGTTCCCTTGTACTTTATGCACAAACCATACCTGCAAGTTCACTGACAGCATAAGGCTGCCTGTTGTTCTTGCGCAAATTGGTGTGAACAAAATTCACAACATCAGGGCGAATGGGAGCCTTGAACACAGCTGGCAAGGTGACATTTTTGCCTGATGCTTCCCCCTTTTCRGAGTAGATGGATATTAGCGGTCGAGCGCAAGCCTAAAAAAAAAAAGGAAAAACTTTTAAGCACTATTAAGACAAACTCTTAGTATTCAAAGGCATCAAATATTGCTCAGAATAGAAGTGTCTTCAATTCAACAGCGCCAGCGTGCTGACAGYAGGCAACTGTCACTGAACACTGGATAAGACGCAAATTACATCATCACAGCAATACGTTTCACTTTAAAAAGTGCCAATCTGCCAAAGCCTTGCTACTCAGGTTATACTRAACACCTGAAACATCGCAACCAGTTTACCTGAATTACAATACACAGGCTCTCAATGACTACAAGCAAGCTCAGCTTTCRTCACCGAGCCTATGAAGCCTGGGCCCTGTGATCAGTATTGCCTCAAAACTTTCAAAGTAAAAGGTTAATTGCCAATAGTAGCTTACTTTTGAAAAAGATAAGGTGCCCTCAAACACCTTCAGTAACAACTTTCTGAAATGTCTCCTAGCGTTATAAAGTGTCTGCCTTCAGTAGCTCATGGTATCACCAAAATACCTTTGTCCCCTTTTCAATTAAGGGGAATTTAAGGATTTTAAGTATTCTTTGGAATTAGCTAATTAACCAGTAACGAAGATACCACCTATGWACCTACTGCTGGGAACGAAAAAAAAAATTAAAAAAAACACCCCCACAACCCACTCTGATTCCAATCAAGCCATGAGCTGCAACACAAGCACCCAGCAAGCTCAGGTGTGGTAAAGAAACTGGATCACACGTTGAATCACCTTCACAAAAGGGGTTGTTTACCTGCCATCTGGATCTAGATCAAGGCTTTTTGAAGCCCAATTCAGATTAAAAAAAAAMCCTTAAAATAATACTGTAGAAATAGCTCTTCTAGCCCAACATTGCCTCAAAGACTTGCACCTAATATGCCGCCCTATATATTTTAAGAAATTAAGAAAAAATAAAATGTCAGAGGCCAGTTAGGGGCCAACAAGGGCCTCATCCCCCTCTCACCCCCCGAGCCCCGGAGAAGGGCGAGGGGCGGCAGAGCGACCCGCCCCCCCCCGCTCCCCGCCCTCCCCGCGCCGGCTCCACGCGGCGGCCGCTGCCGCGACTCCAAAATGGCGGCGGGCTCCGCACGCCTCGAGCCCGGGCCGCGCTGGGCCCGGCTGCGCGCGGCGGCCGCGGCTCCAGGGCCGGGACTCGCCTCCCGTCCCGCATCGCGCCCGTCCCGCCGGCCGCGCCGGCCCCGCTCGCCCCCCGCGGCCTCACCATGGCGGCGGCGCCGGAGCCTCTCGCGCTCCCTCCCTTCYCCGCCGCAGCTCCGACCGGAAAAGGAAGGACCTATCACTGCCGCGCGGCTTTAAGCGATGTCCTTCCGCACCCGTCCCGCCGCCTCCCGCCGCACCGGCCAAGCCCCCACTCAAGCCCCTTCCCCAGCRTCAGCCTTCGCATCCCCCACGTGCACCATAATCCACGGGACAAAACTCTGTCCCTAGGGGCGCCTCTCCCGCTTCCCATCGCTTCCTAAAACACAGGACTCTTTTCCGGCGGAGGGATCCAGCGAGTGGCGGGCAGCAGCGCCTCGCGGCGGCGCATCGCTGGAAGTAGCGCCGGGCGGGCGGGCGCGCGCGAGGTTCGGTTGAGGCGGCGATGGCGGCAGCGGAGCAGCCCGAGCAGCGGCGGGCGGCGGCCGCCCGGCTCCACGGCCGCCTCCTCCAGTGAGTCCCGCCGGGCCGCGGCTGCCCCGGAGCGGCTCGCGGGGAGAGCGCCGAGGCGGCGGAGCCCCCGCGGGGTAAAACCGCCTTTGCGTTCCACGCCTCGGAGAGGCGCGGGCTCCGCGRCCGTTGGCGGAGACCTGAGGCGCTGGGGTGCGGAGCGCGCGCGGGGCCTCAAAGAGCTGCGCCCGGGCCCCCACACCGGCCAGGCGCCCTTTCCCTCGAAACGCCACGCAAAATATTACACCTGAAACTTCTTACTGCTTTCCGGAAGAAAATATATATATATATAATTTAAAGTCTGTGGTAGAAAGTGTAGTAATGTATGGATGGAATAAAACTTTATGTTAACAAGTTTTCAGCTTGAGATTTCCACTCTTTAATGAGAACGGTTAATGGACAATTACGATGCCTCAGCTGTGTCAGCTGTTGTGGGGTTTGTCAGTGTTCAGTTTTAGTGCTGTAATGCGAGATCCGCTTTCCTGTGAGCATTATTTTTGAGGTTAACTGCGTATAAAATAAAAATATTGTGTTCTTTCTACYATAAATGAAGATGTAATATATAATATCACAATTATGATTTGAGAATGATGTTTTAGGGTTTTATTATATATACATTATACATTTAATTTTTAATGAGGAATATGTAACTTGTTTTGTTTGTTTGTTTGTTTTTGTGTTTTTTCCCTCCAGAATTTATGATGAAGGAAAGAAAAGCATCCCTGAACATCCATGTCTCTTTGAGGTAAATGCATATGTGAAAATGCAGCTATGTCATCYAAGCCTATATGTGTTCCGAAAAACAAGGAAGCTGTCAGTGATGAGCAGCTGTCATACGTGCCATCATCACATAGGAAAGTTCACTTCAGCAATGCCTTTTTAGAGCTGCRATTACCTCAGGATGGAGAGGCACCTGGGGAAGGATCAGCTCTCCTGAGCAGCCACCTGCCTCAATCTCTGTTCCTGAAGTTTTGCAGCTGTTAACTGCCAACCTGTTTAACTGTAAGGAACAAGAACATGTGAGAATTATGGTGGGATTAAGGCTAATTGTAGAGGTGCTGGGGCAGTGAGGGAGTGCGTGGAGGGGAAGGAGCTGCCACAGCAGCTGCCCTTTGTGCAGGCAGTGCCGGGGGGCTGCCCTGAGCTGGTATTTTCATGCTTCTAATCCATACCTTCAGATTTGCACCTTCTGATGGCACTTCTGTTATTTGAGTGTTTTTATGGCAATGCGCGTGAAAATGGYAATTATTTCTGATAGTTACTGAAGCACAGAAATGGTTGGAAAAGTCCTTAATGCACTTGTGTGAATCTCTTCAGGATCTACTTCAGTTTATTTGTAGAATTAGCACATTAAAGACGAACTGTTTATGTATTAGTTGAAAAAATATGCATTTTCACAGTTGATTTAAGATTTAGCTCCTTTTACAGAATGCAGTGACTGTATTGCCATGAATAGATTAATTAATGATTGCAATGAGACTCAAAAATAGTTTAGGAAACAGTTAATTTTGAAATCTTCAATGGAAAATGTTGCTAATGCACTTATGTATTTTTTTTTCAGACTGATGTAGAGATCCACTTGGTTGGTAGTAATAATAAATGTCCTGCTGAAAGATTTTGGAATGGAAACAGTATGGTATATATTTTGCAGAAAGCAGTAAGTGTGTGCAGCTATATGTTACTTAGGCAATTTTTCAAATATATTCTGTAGTTCAGCATTCATTTCCATCAAATATTTTCATGCACACCTAATTTTTAGACTTACCTTTGCATTTTCCTTAAAGGAGCAGAAGGAAGAAAGTGACCTGTTTGAAGATTCAAAAGTAGATGATGCTATTCATGATTCTGAGCTTCTACCAAAGGAGAGTTCTGCACCACTTCCTCTTTCTGTTAGAAGAGCAAAGTAAGTATCCAAGGCCCCATGCTTTAATAATTTCATACCYGCTAAACAAATAGATTTGTCACAGTAAAGTATGTTGTTTTCTGCTGTAAGAAAACAAATTGTAAGATTTGAAAATGAGCTTGAATTCTATACATGAATATTCCCTTCAGACTGCAAAGTCTAATTTTCAAATTAATTGAATGAATTGAATTGAAAATTAATTATAATGTTAGTGTTTTAGTCTAAATAAAGAAAAATATATATCAAATATATTCTTTTACAACATATTACTTTCTCCTTTGTGAATTYATTTTTCTGGTTGTAAAATGAGGATTATAATATAGATTTTTTTTTTTAAATGCTTTGATATTTTGATTTGTGAAACAGGCCAGATAAGATTTAAGTATTACTGTTCTCATTTGAAGTTCTATGCAGGAGTCAGACTTTAACTATGTCTAATACTGACTGATGTCTGACATTTTTCCCCCTCCATTCCTGTCTTTAGGCAGTTGATTTCCTTATATACAATGGCACAAAATCCAAACATGACCCATTTGAAGATCAGCAAAGCGGTTGTACTTCCTCCCCTCTGGATACGATGTGACAGCTCTGATCCCGAACATACTTGTTGGCTTGGGGCTGAGCCTCTCAAAACTGGAGACAAAATCACAGGGATCTATTTGCATGCGGTTACATGTCATGGTAAGGTTCCCTGGCTATAAAGGTACATTTAAAACTGAATGAGAAAGAATTAAAGAAAAGTGGGAAAATGACTGGTGTGTGATATCAGCTTGGCACTGTTCCATATTCTCACTTTAATTAAAAAAAAAAAAAAAAAAAAAAAAAAAGCAGAAGATTGAGAAAAGGCATGTTTTTGACCCATGCAATGTACAAAATAGCTTTTTATTATAAGTGATGTATCTAACGTGATGTGATGGTAACTGTTCAGGACTGCCTTCAGTCAGGCCCCATGGAGCATCCAGCTTATGCAAGTGGTGACTCTTAAACATTTAAATGTCAGCACCAACTTTTATTGTCAATAGGATAAATGCAAGAATGACTGTTTTCTAAAGAACATGAAAGATACTTGATTGAATGGAGTGTACAAGGATTATTTTTAAGTGCCAGATTTGGTGTATGTCCATTTTTTTTAATTCTTTTTTTCTTTCTCAGGTCCTACTGCTGATAAATCCTGTTTTGCTGATCTTGAAGAGCTTAAAATGGCACACAAAATCAGACATCACTCATCTGTGGTAAGTCTCTACAGTCTGTCATGCCTCATATCTAAGTTTAAAACTCTGTCTTTTTGCATTTATCATTCTGGCTTGGGGAAGTTTTATAGATAATATTTAGAAATAAATTTTAGCGTGCTTTTCTAGTATAAAATCATCTTTTGAAGTAACATTTGGGCTTCCTATACTGTAATGTGTTTGTCTGACATTAGTCATTCTTTGTGTGAACTGCTTTTAGAAGTATTTTGTGTGGATAGAAACCATCTTGGTACTATTTTGTTTTCTATTGAGATTGCTGTGATTGACATCATGTATTAACATCAGTTCATGCAGAGTTAGATCTGGAGCCTTAATCACCTTATATGCATCTTATTCTAGGTGATGACAAAAGGTTTTGCTCAGTATGAGCTTTTTAGAGCTGCTGCAATAGAGGACACGCTTGTAGAATCTGAAAGTAACATATATATCGATATTGCATGGAATACTGTRGACAAGATTCTGCAGACTCCCCCTCTCACTTCAACTGCCACGCTGGTAAGGATGGAGGAAGCGAAGAAACCCCAACTCTTTCCACTGCTTGCATCCCAAGTAGTGTAAATCATAGAAAACATGTCTGAGTTTTCTCTAGTTATGTTCACTATTCCAGATTTAAGCAGTACAATGTATTCATAAGCTAAATAATAACACTGTGTTAATGTGCATTTACCTAATGATAATTTTAGGATACTTAACTTCTAAAGTATGAATCTGATGTAAACTTCTGGGTATTTCAGAACATTATGCTGGAGTGTGGGGACCCCAGAAGTCCAGTGTATCAGCTGTATAAAGAACTCCAGTTTCTTCTTGTGAGTATGAAATCTAATCTCAGATTTACTTGGAATAGTGATTACATTATCTCCACTTACTCTATTTAAAGTTCCATTACAYGTTGCAAGGATAACCTTAGGTATTTAGTTTATTTTAAAGTTTGAATTCATTTTTAGGAATTTTGAGTACAAGGAGGAAGACTCATGAACACTAAAGTAAGGAAATGCTAGAAGTTTTTAAATTCATGGTTAGGTACGCAGGCTGTTGGAGACGTTACTACATTTTGAAGTAATGAGCTGACCTGTTTGTTTTGTTTTGTGTTTTAATGCTGACTTTAGGCTTTAGCAGAAGGTTTGAAGACGGGAGTGACTGAGTGGCCTGAGCCCTTAGAATCTGAATCAGCTGTTGTGCTTGTCCAGGAGTTTCTAACTGGTATTTGTTGCCTGTTATGTGGGAAGAGGGAGGAGAGGGGGATATCAAATTTCATAAAATTGAAATTACTTCATAAAAGTAGAAAGAAATTTTACATATAGTTCTTAAATTTAAAGTCACAGATGCTGGTTTTCAAGCTATAAAAACCCGCACAGTGTAGTTTACCAGACTCTTGGTGCATCTTCCAAGTTGAAATGCACATCCTGTGCCGTGTGCTCTGGCTGACCCTGCATGTGCAGGGGGTTGGACTAGATGATCACTAAA